TTGATAATCAGGATCATAATTCCAACCTTCAACGCTTTCAGAAACGGTACTCATATCAGTAATATTACCTACTTTAGTTGAATTAGAATTAACAGAGCTAGTAGTAGAAGTACTAGACCGAGACCAATCAGACTCCGAATACAACATATCTTCAAAACCATTGTAAATTGCTTCAATGTGTTAAATCATTATTGGTAAATTAACTTATCCTTATTATGTTAATTTTACCGAGAGATAAATTTGTTCAATTTAAAGTCGTTTTTCTAAAAGGGTATTAGTTAAGAATTTGCAACTTTATTTTGTGGAAAACAGCCACTACAAATTAATTATTTAACAGACCGACCATAACCTGTTTTACGGGTTATATTTACCTAAGTTAACTTCATAGTAATCTGAATGGTTCATGTTAACAATTTCTACTTAAATTAAGTGTCTTTGATATGTCAATCAAATTACTTTGTCTAATGCAAAAGGCAACTTGATACATACATATTTTGGTATGTGATTTGGGCACTGGTTAAATCTATATTTGTTATCATGTCAGTGAATTTACATTTAAAATAGAGAAATACTTTTTAAAATATTTAAAAAAATGTTTTTTTTTTGAAAAATAAAAATTTTGCTTATGTTATAATGAATGTTTTCTTTTTGTTGTTTTAGTGGAACTGCAAAAAGATACCTGTACGTTTTTAATGTTACCGTTCATTTGTTGTAGAAACTTGAAGTGATTTTTTATATAACATGTTTACTTCAATTTTAAAAAATTAAATCATTTTTCCTTTCATATACCTTTTTAGTACTACGTGTGAAGCAATCAGAAGAAGATAAAGGTTTTTTAAGTTCTACTTTAAACTAGATAGATATTTAAACTATATAAACTATCCTATTATTAAAATGAAATATTTGCATTTAGTTTTTAGATACAGTTACGTTATCTTCACAAGCTACAAACGGTATTGGTATTATTTTGAGGGTGAAACTTTAAAAATCATACGTGACATATTCCTTACATATTTTGTTTATTTCAATGCTAAATTTGTCCTACAATGGCTATCGTATTTACAGTCGACGGCATCGTGGGCCCACTTCCTACAGCTCCTACAGGAAGTGGGTCAACAATTACAGAGTTGACAACTCCTCCTTTAATTGGATTGGAAGAATGAGAGGAGGCGGCAGAGATCGGGTTGGGTGGCGTAGTCATAAAAATTTTAATTCATTTAAACTTTAAATATATTGTAAATAAATGTTTAGTTTTTCTTGTTGTTAAAAACGTTAAATTTGTTTTCTCAAAAAAGTGACAACGGATCTCTAATACACTGAATTGACATTTACTAAATTAACATTAACAAAAACGGATCTCAACTTCAATGTACAGACATTAACTCAACGCTAATAAAACATTGTTTGGATTCGTTAATTAAATTCATCTTTTAAATGTCATAAGTTAATTAAATTAATCTAATTTAATGTCTTGCTTGCATGGATTATCAAAACACATAATTGTACATACTCATTTATTTATAAAAAAAATAATTTATATTTTTCTATAATAAATTTGAAATTTAAAAAACCAATTTGCAAAAAATTGATTTTTTTTTGAAAAATTTCCGAATTAATAGGGATGTCAACTAATGATCCTGATGAGAATGTCATCTTGACACTACTTGGATAATTGGATATTAAAACACCTATATTTTGATCATTTACATTTCAATACACTTATGCTTATCATTCGAATATTTATACTGGTACTCTTAGAAGCTATATTTGTTGATTTATGCCTATAAGGTTATACTTTAGAAAGATTGGGTCATTAAAACATTACTATAACACCTATTCAACACAAAAAATGTGTGAAATAGCTATTGTAGTGTATATAATACATATAAATGATTTGAGGATACTTTGGAGAATCTATGTATATATAATCATAAGGATATATATATATATATATATATATATATATATATATATATATATATATATATATATATATATATATATATATATATATATATATATATATATATATATATATATATATATTTATATATATATATATATGTGTGTGTGTGTGTTTATGTATATATATATATATATATATATATATATATATATATATATATATATATATATATATATATATATATGTATATATGTGTATATATATATATATGTATATGTGTGTGAGCATATACAGGTGTGAGTACATACATGCTCATATGTGTTTGCATTAATACACATATAATCTTTTATCAGTGTGTGTATATGTATTTATATATGTGCTATAATGTATTTGTATGTTTGTATTTTCTTCAATGTATTTGCATTTGTATATGTATTTGTATATATGCTTTAATATAATACTACTAGAGTCATACATAACATTTAATATACACCTCCAGCTAACCAATACCACTACAACTACTGACTTCTACTGTCACCATACATGCTCTAAAATTTTGACTATCATGTACAATTTACTCTAACACTCCTGTCAGGGTTATTATAACAATATCCTTTCCATCTGATATCTACTTAAAAAACGAATAATTCTACTCCAGCTCTCTTTCATACACGACCTGATAACTACTTAAAGAACGAGTAACTCTACACCAGCACTGTGACATACATCTGACAATACTTAAAAAACGATTAATTCTGCTTTAGCTCTCTTTCATGAACCATCTGTATCTACTTAAAAAACGAATAATTCTATTCCAGCTCTGTTACATACATCATCTGATAACAACTTAAAAAACGAAAAATTCTAATCATACATACATCTTCAGATGTCTACTTAAAAACAAATAACGCTACTCCAATTCTGCAACATCATTTGATAGCTTAAGACACAAGTAACTATAAATATTATTAAGCAAATAACAGGCCAGGATTTTCATAAAACGAAAAATTCCACTCCATTTTAAATACTTCTCGCAACATCACAGTCACGTGACTTACGCACTGTGATTCTTTTTACTTATACAAAATACCAAACACTTTTTCAAAACCTCATATTAACCGCTGACACTACAAAACTCCATACGATTGTTATGTATTAGTGGTAATTTTTATAAAGATTATTAGTTAATAAATTAACATATTAGTTTTTGTTGTTATATTAATGTAATTCTAGTTTAATATTTTAGATCATCTTGTTATAATAGTTTGTTTATTCTCTAGAAACACACCATAGGACTACTAAAAATCACGCCTAGCTTACGCTTCATCTACTTAAAGGACCTTAAATTATTTTTTGTACTAATAACTCTTACTATTGAGGCATGCTACTACAATAGTTACACACGTAAACCACATTATCTATTTACATTACACATACCTAAATGAACTCAAAGCAGTTCACAACTCTCATTGACCCATGCTACACTTTGACAAAACACTGGACACTCAAGTCAAAAAACTACTTACTATTGTTTGAAAGTTGAACTAAAGTGTCCTCTGGTCCTAGTGTCAATTCAGGAGCCTGTGGTAATCGTCCTGACTGGATACTCTGAGAATAGTCCTTCTGGGATAACACAATGAGATACCTTAAAAAGATACCCTCGTGTAGACCCAGGGTAGAATTTTTTGGGATACCAGTCTCGGATGAAAGCTGGAGGTCTTCATGTGTTCATACTGCACCATAAGGCACGAATCCATACTGTACTTGAGACGTTAATGACACTTATATCTATAATGTATGTTTATCATCCTAATAATAAAACCAAAGGGTGATTACTTATAAAACAAAGAATTCTACTCCATTACCAATTCTATCTATACATAACATTTATTGGAATAACAACAATTTAGTAGCACAACAACTTTCATTGACTATTGTTAATTATTAAAATTTATTTTTTACTACATTTTACTTATATCAGTTTTTAAAAATTTTTCAACTTTGAGGCTTTTTGTTTTCTGGACATCTGTCTGTTTTGTTTTGTTTTCTGGACATCTGTCCTTTTGTACTTTTATCTCACTCTACTAAACTCTTTTTAACTTATTATTCATCCCTAAGGCGTTCACTGCTCGGTGCAGCTTCACTAAAATGCATTGCATTAACAAAAAAATTGATTTTTTTTGAAAAATTTTCGATTAATTGGGATGTCCACCTTAAGATGTGAAGATTTTTTTGAATTTGACAAGGAATTTTCTAATTACGTTTTACGAACTGAAATTATTACTTAAGTTAAATGAGAAAAAAATCAACCGATAGTAATCTAGCTATTAGTCTAATCTCGGTTTAATTAGTTTTTAATAAAAAAAAACATATAAAAGTAGTTTGTTAATTTCGCTAAATAGAAATACCAACAATATCTTGGGCACATTAAGTTATCTTCAACTTTACCGCTTGGTATAATTTATTAACTGCTGATTTAAACAATAATAAGCGAAATAAAAATAAGGAGCTCATGATGACGATAATGATAAAAGAAAAACAGGCTTTATAAAATTTCGAAAGGGTTAGTGTTTGTAGGTATGCCCTACTCGTTGTAATTAAAGGAAATCATAAACAAATGCCACGAATTTAAAATATCAATATTTAAAAACAAATTTTCTCTTAAAAAATTATAGTTATTGGGAATGTAACTTCATTGGAAATGTATTAGTAATTGGGAATGTATTAGTTATTGGGAATGTCAAAAATAATAGTTATTGTGAATGTAACTATATTGGGAATGTAACTTCAAAGGCAATTATTCTAAAATTTAAGATTTTACGTTAATTTTGAAAAAAAGTTTCGGGCCTTTGCTGAAAACGGACAATAAAAACAATTTCTTAATTTTAAATGGACAAAAACAGATTTAATGATAAAATTTTAAATGCAACAGAACTTTACATTGTAATAAAAGCGCCTCAAGATTTAACTAGGTATATAAATTTAAAAGAATCTTTTTAAAAAATATGAAATTAGGAATAGTTTTTTAGTCAGCATATAATGATACAGATTTTTTTTATTCGATTCGTAAAAAGATTTAAAAAATACAAAGACAATGATTAAAATATATTTAAAAATGTTTGTTTTATAAATATTACAGTATCTTTAGATGTGCGTTATAACTTCATTCATGTTTATTACACTTTATTCATTATGTTCATGTTGTTTGTTTACATTGCGTTTTCGTTAAGTATGTTAAGACATTTAGGCGTAAAACTTGAGACGTTATACACGTTATGAACGCATTCAAATTAATTGAGTTTTTGTAGTAGTAAAACGTTAATATTATTAATAATGGATGTGCCTTCAATGGATGACATTGATTGTAACCAAAGTATGGGTTCGCAAGATATACCAATTACACCACGAGTTTCCACTGAAGTAGTAGAAGAGGGTTCTGAACCGGAAGAAAAGTATTATTTTAATCCTTTATGTTATATACCGACTAGGGCTGATAAAATTGACTTTTGTCGCTAAATATATGACTATAATGCTTTACTAGAGGAACACGAAAGCGAATCAATCGTTGCAGTTTGCAAACAGATAAGATGCATGAAGGAGATAGAAGATTTTCAGGTGGAGACATTGGACGACAATGCGTGGAGGCAGGGTCTGAGAACTTATGTTCTGTTGTTTTTCATTTGAGTTAAGACCCCATTATACATGCTTAAGTTAACGCTAGCTCCGTCAGAAGAAGCGCTGACAAGTTTATTTTTATATGCATCTGCAGTTAAAGGAATATTTCCTGATTGATTGAAAATGCTATCAATAGCCTTTTTAATGGTATTAGCGTTCACACCACCCAAATTGTTCATCTCTAGTAAAGATACTACAAGATAAGCAGGTATGCCATCTCGTTCAACACGAACAAGAACCAACTCTTTCTCATCCTTTGTTTTTCGTGCTTGAGAGCCATCAGAAAGTATGAAGAAAAAGTTTTTCTCTTTAACAATTTAGCAATTTTTTCTTAAATGGCATTAGCAATGCAGGAGGTAAATTGACGTGCTAAATATAAATGAAATTTAATTTGATCTTTGTTAATTTCTTAAATAATATCAAATTAATTTAAAAAATAAATTACCTACTCGATTGTGGCCTTTTCCTTCTACAAGTTGCACACCATTAAGTCTTTGACATTTGATAAGTACTTCAAAATGGCTATGGGGCATGCTTGGTTTTAAAGCCATTTCGTATGCTGTTTTTATCATCTTAAAATACGCTTCACGAATGTTTTGCTTATTATTTAAAGAGTTCTGGTTATCTGGATTTATAATGTGGCCTATTCCAGTTTCTTGAGTTAGGTTTCCCTTATCGATTTCCAGCGCCAGTTTAAGGATATGACCTTCAAGATGACGATCAGCCTATTTTAGAAATCAAAATTTAAAAATTAAAAACATAATATAAAGACAAATTTATAAATTATTGCTGAAAAAACATTGTACTAAATGTTTGTGAATAAAGTAAGTAATAACGTAGTTGAAACTACTTACTGTATTTGCAAATTCAAATGAGCTTTTAATTTTAATCTTACCTGATGTTTTGTTACCACACTAGTTCTCTCATTAAACGCCTTCAAAGAACCAACCACTACTCCTCTAACTGAACGATCACTTAAAATAGATAACTTGTTTCTTGCGCAAACCTTACACCATATTTTGATAACTAATCCGTTTTCTTCAGTGTAACCGATAAATTCCTCTTTCCCCCACAACAGAAATGTTTTTAAGCTCTTTGATATTGGCTTATTAAATTTAATTATTTTTGCCGCCGATGCCATTTTTTAAACTTTCAATACTTAAACTTATATTTCTAATTGCTTTTTTTTTTACTAATCATTGCTTTAAATGATTGAAAATTACTATTTCAAAAAGACTTTAAAATAGATTTAGTTATTGAAAATTTGGTATAAATATACATACATATATATATATATATATATATATATATATATATTTATATATATATATATTTGATATATATATATATATATATATATATATATATATATATATATATTTGGTATATATATATATATATATATATATATATATATATATATGTATATATATATATATATATATATATATATATATATATTTGTATATATATATTTATATATACATTTATTTATATGTAAATATATGTATATATATATATATATATATATATATATATATACATATATATATATATATATATATATATATATATATATATATATATATATATATATATATATATATATATATATATATCTATATATAAATATTTATATAATTATATTAAAGTATATAATCGAATAATATATAATACTTAGTTTATTTATTAAATGGTCGTTAAAAGTGATTTGAAAAAGTGTTTCTGAAACTTTTATAGAACATCACAGAAGATTAAAGTTAATTATTTGAAACGTAAAAACGTAACTTAAAGTAACTATCGCCTCGAGTTCGATTTTTTTAGTTTAGTTAAAGTTTTTTATTATATTTTTCGTTGATATTCTTTTTTTTTAAGTTTATTTAATGTTCCTTTCAATTTAGTTTTGTTAATATTTTTTGAACGCATTTCTGAACTGCTTTAAAAATACCTAACATATCGTCAAAAACGTCTAAGCAACCGTGGTCAAATTATAAAAATATTTTTTATGTGTGTGGTCAAACAAAGTGCGTAATCGCACGCCATTCCCGTCCAAGCCTGTATATGCATTTCTAATAACAACAACTGGATTGCTGGTATCATTACCAAGCTATATGCATTTCCAATAACAACAACAGGATTGCTGGTATCATTACCAAGCTATATGCATTTTCAATAACAACAACTGGATTGCTGGTATCATTACCAAGATGTTTGCATTCCAAGTAACATTAAATTGTTATTGTATTTATCAAGCTATTTGCATTTCCAGTAACATCGTTGATATATTTACCAACTATCATGCATTTCCAGTATTATTTGATTGTTGTTATCGTTACCAAAGTATTGCAAACCCAGTATCATTTTGTAACCATGAATAAACTATATGCAAAAAGATACCCAGTAGCAACATCACTAGCATAATTTTCTTCATTGAGTTGTAATGAAATTTTACAATAAAACATATATCATTTACATTTACCAAATATTCATTGTACACTTTTACAAAAAATCATTTACAATATTATTTTGTGCAAGATTGCAAATAAACTTACCAACACAGAAACAAATTGATCATACCATTACGTTGTTACCTTTACGCAGTTAAATATCACAGGTTACCTTTCCAATATTTTGGAACCCAACTTTTAGTGTAACGGTTAAAGAACCGATTTTAGTAGTCTTTTTATATTTATAAATATTTTATCCATTAATAACTGCCTGTACAAGAAAAAAATTTTTTTGCAAACCCTTAACTGGAAACAGAATAACTTCAGTTTTCTGTTATTTGCATCTGGCAGTCATGACAGTTCCAGATAACATCTTCTTTCTCATGTGCACGCAGTGGAATACTTTTGCATTCACGATGAAACCATTTGTTACAAGTAAAACATTGTGCCATTTGTCTGAACAAAAAATTTAAAACTTAAAATGAATTTGGTGTTATAAATATATACGCTTATCAAAGTTAAGTGGCAATATAATGTCGACATTCATCTTCACTATGATTAATAGCCTTTGTAAATACTAAAATTTCTACATAATATGACATAATATTGTATATGATAACATACCTAATAAAAATATGCTCATCGTTTTGAGTCCAAAACATGGGACAGGAACAATGTAGAGGAATATGAAAACTCTTTGATGCGCATCTTCTAAACATAGTTAGGGTAATTCACATTTTTTAATCAGCACTCCCATTACAAGATTCCTTAACCTTACTTAAGAGATCTTACCTTGTGAAAGTTCTGACATAAGTGAACAACTATCTTTATTCATTTAACAGTCAAGAATAAATACCCGAGTTAGGAAAATGTATTAAAAACAAGTTGAACTACAAGAAAATTTATATAAGATATTACTTAATTACATTTAATAAAACATATATAAATAAACATATATAAACACATAATAAACATTAAATTTAATAAAAATTTACCTCTAAAACGAATTAAGAAAATTTACATACAATATTAAAATAAACAATAAAGAATAGGTAATAATTAGAAATACTTTATATTTATTACGTGCGTCACGAGGTTTCAAAACTTTAATGTTGCTTGAAATACCATGAAACATGAAATAGCACTAACAAGCGCGATGTAAACTAACTTCTCAACACATGGACTTAGTTAACCTAAGACCTAGGTATTAGGCAAGACCCATATATAAAAATACTTAGTCGGGTTTGAATGCAAAGTTTATTATTTTTAAAATTTTTGTGACTTTTTATATATGAATATTTATTATATAAACATGTATTGGGATTTATCCTTTCAAATATTCTTTCAATTTTCTAAGAGATGATATTGTAAGTTTTATTACGCATCGCAATCGTATATGACTATGTTCATTTGGAAACTACTGTCATTGCTCATCCTTTTTAGTTTGTGTCATTTGATTAAAGAAGTATATGTCGTTTAAGTCATTATAGTATAAATCATTTGATCAAATATGATAGTATATGTCATTTGATTAAAGCATAAACTACAATTTTTTTTATTAATTTTAAACTGCCGAACTTTGCCCGATGAAGTGTTTTGCGCCGTGTTCTTCATTACTTTAAAATGGAAAAAAGTCCTGCCGAAAGTCATCGTAGTTTAGTGGAAGTTTATGACGATCATGTTCTAGCTAAAAGAATTTGTCAGAAGTAATTTCAACGGTTTCAAAGTGACAATTTCAACTTGGAAGACGAAGAATGGCCTGGACAGCCAAAAAAGTTTAAAAATGAAGAATTGGAGGCATTTTTCGAAGGCGTTTCGTGAAAAACGCAAGAATAACTTGCAAAAATTATTGGAAGTTACTCGATCAATCATTTCACAACGCTTAAAAGCATTGGGATTTATCTAAGAGCTTGGAAACTGGGTGTTAAACGACTTGAAGCTAAGAGACGTTAAAAGACGATTTTGCATTTTGCAAATACTGTTTGAACGCCATCGACGAAAGTCGTTTTTGCATCGGATCGTTTCTGGTGATGAAAAATGGATTTACTACGATAACCCTAATCGTATCGCCTGACCAACCGTCAATATCAACGGTAAAGCCAAAATATATATGGTACAAAAATAGTACTTACCATTTATTGGGACCAGAGGGGAGTGCTCTATTATGAGCTGTTAAAATTTCATGACAGGGGATATTTACCTAATAATTGATGCGTTTTAAGAAAGAAATCGTGGTAAAACGTCAAGAAAATGTAACTAAACACTAGGCCATAATTTTACACTATGGTGTACAAGCAGTGCTCGGCCTCATGTTGCAAGACCGGTTAAAAATTATTTGGAAAACACTGGTCGGGAAGTTCTACCCCATCCGCTAAGCCCAGACATAGCCTCTTCTGATTACCAATAGACATTTCTCTAATTCGATTGCGCAACTATTTTTGCAACATGAAAACGAGGCCAGTAAGGACAAAAATGTAAACAAGTAGCGACAAATTGCTTAAATAAAACTCATTCTTAAATTTATCTATCTAAAAAATTATGAATAGAATTAATAAGGATAAAAGTAACTGCTTTAAAACTGATAAAATTCAAAATTTGATATTGCAAGATGTAAATAGTGATTTGGAAATAGAGTTAAAATCGAAGAAAGATGCATCTTTAAAAGAAAATAAGTGCTGGAGAAAATCTCTGGAGTTTCTACCAGTGTTTACCAAACGCGAAATTGATAACCATATGAGCAAATGCGGTAAAATAAAAGGAAAGACTATTAAAAAAACTTTAGAAAGAGGACTAAAATTTAAACAAGAACGTTATATTTCTGTTGACAGTTTATTCACAGCACGAACACCAAAATGCTTCATTGTCAAATGTGCATGTCGAGCAAGCATGAAAAAAATGATTAGAAAAATGCAAGTTTACATAAATCGCAAAAGTAGTCAAGTTGATAAGGCTTCTTGCAGTTGCCCTGCTGGTTTGATTTGTTATTGTAATCATATAATGGCTTTACTGTTGGAGTTAGCAGAATACTCTTTAAAATCCTTTAAAGTTGTTCCTTCTGAAATCGCTTGCACAAGTTCTTTAAGAAAGTGGGGAGTGCCTGGTGAGAAAGAGAAAAAAGTATATCCTGTAATGAAAAACGTACTTCATGCTGACTTTACAAAAAACTTTATTGTTTTATCTCACTTATGGAAAAATGTTGAAAACAAAGCTATTACGATTTCTACTCTTACTTTACCTAGTAACTTTTTAAATATACCTGACCCATGGCTTTATTCTTTAAAAGAAATTGAGTTTATGAAAAAAATTGTTGTTTCACAAGACGAAAGTATACTATTACAAAAAAAAACTGTAAAGCAAAGGTTTAATGTCCACAATGGTTTAATGAGAGAAAATATAGAATAACAGCATCAAATGCGCATAAGATTTATAGTAGGAAAAATAACTATGAATATTTGGTAAAACAATTTACAGAAGACAACAAAAAATTCACAAATGCCAAAGACATGTTAAATCATGGTAAAATTACTGAAGATGTTGCAAAAGAAAAATTTAAAAATGTAATGACTTACAAATTAAACAAAAATATTAAAATGGTTGAAACTGGATTATTAGTTCAACCATGTATCCCTTGGCTTGGTGCAAGTCCAGATGGACTTGTGTTAATCGACTCAAAAACCTACTTGATGGAAATCAAGTGTCCTTTTACAAAAAGAAATGCAAACCCTAATGATCTTGTTAAGGAGGAAGGGTTTTATATTGGTTTATTACCTATTGGGGAACTATTTCTAAAGAAGAATCACTCATTTGGCTATTACACACAAGTCCAAATAGCAATGGGTTTATCTGGACTAACGCATGTTTGTTTATAGTTTACGTTTATAAAGGAATTTTTATTGTAAACGTTAATTTTGATAAATGTTATTTTTTAGATAAATTAAGGTATTTTTATAAAAAATATCTTTTGTCATGCTATGTATCTCAATAATAAATATTACATTACATATATTTTTACTGTTTTATTAGAGGATCCATAAAATTACACAACAAGCAGCTTACAGTCCAAATTTGATTTATAGATCCATATAAAACTAGGGGTATTTCATTTCGGATTTGCTTATTTTTCTTAATTCTTTGTATAGCACGTTCTACATGAATTCGTAAAGCTGCTATTGTTTGACTTTCTATAACTTCTTCGTGTAATAATTGATCTCTTCCATTTAAAAGGCTGGAATATTAAGTGTTACACCAAGAGGCTTAAGCAGATCACTTATTATAAAACCTCTATCAGCCATTACACTATCTTCACTATCCCATAGCTCTCTTTGCAAAAGTCCTGATTGCTTAACTAGTTCAATATCAGAAATAGAGCCAACAAATAGTTCACTAACAAATGTTATTGCACCAGAAGGAGCAATTCCAACTAATCCTTTAAAGCTAACATGATGCTTATAGTGAGAAAACAAACTACTCTGAACTGTAAGGCTAGAAGGTCTTTGACAAAGCAACTCAGTACAGTCAATAATAACTTTTGTTTTAGGATAAGTCTCTTTAAAGCATTTTGGCATGTTAAGTTTTAGTTGATCTAAATTAGGCCAAATTGGTATTGCACCAAGTTTAAGATACATAAAATTTGACCATGTTATAAGATATCTTGAGTAGACTTTGGTGTCTTGAATAACCAGGAAGTAAAACTTAAAGAAAAACCAAGCCTAAGCCATGTTAAAAACATAAATAGTTGATCAATCAATTTCATTTTTGGCCTAGGACCAGGTTTGGATTCTGGTGAAGAAGATGTAAACAGTTCCATAGGTAACTTTTCCTCAGAATGATGCTCAGGATATTAATACTTCATATTTTCACATTCATTTTCAGGATATAAATATTCAAATAAAATGTCAAATTTTTCTTTTCTCATGCCAGTGAACGAGTTAAAATATTTATCATCTTTTTCAAAACTTTCATTGCGAAAAATACCATTTTTTAATTGGTCGTTGATTATTTTTAGATTTTCATATTCTTCAAGCAAGCTACAGTAGCTTTCATAAACTACTTCTAATCTTTTTTCTATGATTGTTTTTTCTGATGACAACAGCTTACAGTTTTCACAATTTTCATTATTTGTAAAATCCAGTAATGTATGAATTCCTTTGTCGACTTTAGTTGTGAACTCTGGATATTTTGACCTTTTACATGGAGATTTTCTTGGTAATTTTTCTTGTGCTACCTTAAATGAGTATATACTTGGAACTTGATTTCCTGTTTTTAAAGATTTTTTACTGCAACCAGAACTAATTTTTATCTCCTCAGGCCTAAAATGAAACTCACACACTTTAGTATGTTTCCTTATTTCAAAATTATCAGCATCTCCTTTACGTCTATATTTAGATATTTCGTTAGACCAAGCTTTGTAAACTTTGGGCTTTTTCTCTTGGTTCGGGAAAGAAAATAGACCAATATTCGTCTTTTTCATACTTTTATTATAAAATGAACTTCCACACAGTGGTATACAGCAATACATTGCTCTTCCACCTTTTTTCACCTCTTTTGGTCTGATAGTGCTTGAGTTGGAATAAGATATTATAAAGATATAATAAAAATATAATAAGATATAATAAAAAAATTTTATTTAGGAGCGAAACTATGAATTTAGTTTGTTTACATTTTTGTCCTTATTGGCCTCCTTTTGAAGCTGAGAACTTTGTTGCGCAATCAAATTAGGGAAATGTCTATTGTTTCGATTGATACAAAATACACTCACTGGAAGCAAAATACACTCACTGGAAGCAAATACACTCACTGGAGCTTCACTTCATTTGACGGTATCAAAAATCGACTTAATTCGTTTTAGGTTGCAATGCTCGAAAACCACCCTTAAACGATTTTTGCCTTGTGGGCAGGAGCTGAATCCTGTTGAAATGTCCAGGGTTTTGTACTAAAGTGTGATTGGGACATTGGAAGTACTTCTTTTTCAAGGACATCATTTAAATAGTTTTCACTGATTAATATTAACTCCAGAATCCTCTAAAGCTAAGGATGCTTTGCCATCCGAAGTAAAAAAGCATAACGGATTGCGGATGTCCTGAACGAGAAGCGATTCTCCATTTATGTTTGCACCACTGATACTTCTGAACAATATCCTATCATTTTGAATGTTTAATTAAGGTTTAACATTAGGTAAACATTCATAAGGGAAAA